ATCTAGTTAGATTTTTAGGCATTACTAATGGGAAAAAAAATTGTTCAAAGACACTAAAAAGAATTTTCCTGAAATATGCTGAGAACTAAAAGCCACATTACAGAAAGCTGGCCAAGAGTGAATTGAGACGGCCTTGTAAGCCTTGTCTGCTGCAGCCATGATTTTTAAACGTCTCTGCTTTTGATGAGAAAAAAGATCATGACCCTCTTTCCCAGAAAGGTTAGAAAAGGAAAACATTTCATAGATGGTACCAAGGAAACCATGAGTCACTCCTGGGGACTTGAGAGAAACCCTGAGACCATCAGGGTCTTGTCACAGATGTGCAAGTGTCCGTGGATCGCATGACTTTTAGGGACCTTGATGACATTGGAGTCCTGAGAGCCAGACATTTTAGATCAGTGACCCAGAGATGGAGTTAAGTGTCCCAACTTTGTGTTCTCTTCTCTGGAGTCCAAATACCTGCAGGGGCTGGTAAGGAGCCAGTGCCAGCTTGCCTTGCCAAGCCTCTTTTTCTTGGCAATGTTTGGAGCCTTTCTGAACACGGTTCTCCTTTGCTGGTTTTTTCCAATGTCACTGAATATGGTCAGTCCTCGGCTATCCAAGGAAGACTGCCGATGGTTCCTTCTAGTAATGTTAGTGCATCATGTGGAGAATTCAGACCATGTCCCTGCTTTTCTTTTCCTCCCTTTCTCCTTCTCTCCCTCTTTCCCCTTTCTCTCCCTCCATCTTTCTATTTTTCCTCCTTCCAGTGGCATTTTATGTCGCCCAGGCTGGCTTGAATTCACCATCCCTCCATGTAGTCTGTATCTTAACTATGACTTTGAACTCCTGATCCTTCCGTCCTCATCTCTGAAGGGCTAGAATTACAGGTGTGCACACCCACACTCCGCTCTGATTCCTGCTTTTCTAGACATTTCCATTGTCTGTGTAAATGTTGAACAGATAGATGCTCAGCACTTCCTTAGTGACACGGTAACTCTTCACTTAACCCTAACCTCTCCATTCTCCCCTCCGTTCTTCTAGACTATTCATCCTAAATGTACTGCCCTTTTCCTTCCCTGCTTGCCAGAAAGCTAAACCAGACTTAATCTGAGTAATTATCCACTTAATCCTCTTTCACAGACAAAGTAGAAAGTCCATGGAGATAATGTGATGTGCCTAAAGGCCACTGTTCCCATTGAGTGGTGCTGCCTCCCACAGGAATCTGTTAGCCCAGCATTCAGATGTCCCTCTGACATGTCTCTAATTCAATGTCTCTTTTATATACCACAAGCTCTCCATCCTTTCCCTTACATATAATGCTTTTGTATTCAGTATGTCCCCACTTTATTGCGCTCTTTTATACACCATGCCCAAGTCCTCTTCTCTCCCTCCCTCCCTCCTTCCTTTCTTTCCTTTCTTCCACTGTGGATTTTAGAGACAGGGTTGCCGTGTATGTAACTCTCATATTCTACACTTTACCTTTCTTCTTCTCAACCAATTTCCCCTTGTGGTGGTATTTTACTTGTACTGAAATGTGATTTTAATTGTATGTTAATAAATAAAGTTGTCTGGGGGGTCAGAGCTATTAGAGCCATAGCAAGTGCGTGGCGGCGGGTGGCGCAAGCCTTTAAGAACCTGGAGGGCGGTACATTCAGGCAGTGACAAGGCAGTCACATGTTTGGGTTTACAACCAATGAGAAGGCAGAACAGGAAGATTTTAAAGACGTACACACAGGAAGTAGGTCCTTTTTCAGAGAGCTCTCTTGGCTGAAGAGGATCCCTGAATCAGGAAGGGTGAGGCTCTTAGCTCTGACCTCTTGGCTTTCTTCTCTGAATCGGCTCTGTGTTTCTTATTTGATAAGACGGTTGGATACATCTACATCCCCTTCCCTTTAGTTCATGTATGGAGGGCTCTGTACTCATTACATATCTCTGGGGTCTCAAACTCATGACTATCCCTCTGCCTCAGCTTCCAAAGTGCTGAGAATCAAGGCATGCATCACCATGCCCCGCTAGCCCTTAGTGTGAGTTATTTAATCCTCGTAAAACCTTTAGCCACAGTCTAGTCTAATTTCCATTTATACATGTGGAAATGAAAGCTGAAGTAGTTGAAGTAACTTCCAAGACCCGAGTTATCAGGTGGCGGGCCAGCATCCAATGTAAACGTCTGTCTTCAGAACCTGTGCTGTTGGCCCCAGCTTCAAACTCCGAGTCTTTAAGCAACATCTGTCTGTCGGGTCCAAGGCTCTCTCTTCTCTATAAAACTTTCCCCAGTGATCAATAAACGTCAGAGACGTGGGATTTATCTCCGGCTTATTTGTGTTTTCTCAGTCCCCTTCAACATAACTGTAAACGCTGAGAAAATAATGCAATAACTTATGAAACGATCATAAGTATCTGCAGCTCAGTTTTTCAAATTCTCTTCCAGAGGGTAATTGGAAAGCAAACAAGGAAAGGCAAGCGCTAACAAAGAGCCTTCGCTGTGGTTTGGTGCACAGACACAGCTCAAGCTAGTCAGGGTTTCTCCCTCCCTCCAGGTACTCCTGATGCCTTTGACCTTGGAGGTACCACTTAACCGCCATACTTAACCTCCAGACACCCATACTTCCCTCCCCATCCTCATTTGTGAAATAGGATTAATAAGGCGTGTCTCATGGGGTTACAGTAGTGACTGCATGAAAACCTACTATCAATTGTAAAGCGGTATTCAAAAGAAGTCTCTGTTTTTTGTTTGTTTGTTTGTTTTTTGTTTTTTGTTTTGTTTTTTAGTCCTACCACAAGTCAAATATAAAGTAGCTCAGTGTGGAGCTGCATCTTCCCACTGACACTGTGGGTGGAGATGGTTAGTGTCCTGGTCATAGGACTCTTTGTGAGCTTTCTTGGGCTTCTTTAAATCAAATTTTTTATGTGTTAATTTCCCATAAAATGAAGTTGGCCAGCATCTCCCTTACGTTTTGATATACCCTGACCCTAAGGTTTTTAAATATTAATTCTAAATTTCAATTTTGAAAAGTAATATAAACCAGCTCTTCAGCAATCTGTGTTCAGAATACTTAACAACTTCTTCCTGCGTTTTCCTTGTGGAACGACTTTAATCTGCATGGTTAGTCCATCAGGAACTGTAAATAACTTCTCCGTCTCATGCCTGTTAAGGTATACACCATGCCTTTGCTGGTGTGGTGGGGCTTGTGTAAAATGGCTAGGTGGTTTTGCTTTTCGAAGTTGGGATTAAAGATACAGAAGACAAAAGAAGTAATAAAAGCATGGAAGGGAAAATTGGTTGAGAAGAAGAAAGGTAAAGTGCAGAATGTAAGAGTTAACTCCTAAAATAAATATAACGCCACCACCTTCTACAGGAGCCCTGGTTTATTTCCAATAGACAAGTGAGACGAGCAAAAGATGGATAATGGTAGAGAATCGCAGAGAGTTTCATTTACTGTCTGGCCACTAAGCCTCACAAATACTAGGATTACAGGCATGTTTCGCCATGCTAGGCTAGTACATAATATTTTACATATAGACTGTCTGGTACAGTCTGTTCCAGTGCACAGGGAGCCAAACACTAGATGAACATAGGCAGCTGAGCCGTGCGGCAATGTGTCTTCGGTTATTGGGGGAACCTGGATTCTGGTTCACAAGTAACACCCAAGACACAAGTGATTTGGTCCATTTGAGTCTGCCTTTCTTCACCTGTTAAATAGAGATACCCTGGCAGAGAGATGATAATACCACTTTCACTCTTTAGAGTTCAGTGCCTAGAATAGCGGAAATACTTGAAAACAGTTAAACCCCTTTGCTACCAATCATCACATGGGTTGCAGAGAGCGAAATTGTTAAATTTGTCCACCGAGGCTGAAATGGGTGAGCGTTGGAATAACGCCACTGTGGGGCCGATTACTACCTTATCTTTGCTCTGATCACTTGTGTTAGACTGGCATTTTCTCACCAAATTGCCTTCAGATTCCAAATGCTAATGGCAAGACCAAGAAGCAGCATCTGTCTTACGTCATAGGAAACTTGTCGGAGATAACCCGCCCCTGTAAATATGCATGTGATCCCAGCTTTCTATAGGAACAATGATGATGTCAGACACAGGATAAAGATGTCATCCGCCTTTGAAACCGTTTTTTCCCAGCTAGGTCTCAATAAAGAACATGGGTTGCTATTTTACAATGTGATTGGCACATTCACTTAACTAGTAACGGATAACTGGACCTCTGTTTTATAAATGAGGGAAACCAAGAGAGTTTAGCTTAATTCCAAATTCTTTAGTGCTAGTGCCCGGTCCATTGCTGATTCACTGACGCCCAGGACTATTGCTGTAAACGTGTGAGATGCTTTTCATGGCCTTTGGAAGTTAGCTCGGTTGGTGAAGCACAATCAAGTGTCCAACCCAAGGTGATTGAACCGAGTCCTATCGCAAAACCAAACCTCTCTAAACGAAACTCTAGTGTCCACTTCTTGTAAGAGTAACCTTGTCCTCCGGAACCTTTCCTGACTTTTCATAGGACCAACATGGACCAGTAGCCCTCCAGCTTGAGTGTGTATCAGCATCATTGCGGGACTTGCTGTATAAAACGCAGCCCATCTGCTGAGACTTGAGAACGTGCACTTAAGCCCTTTCCTTCTGCCTATCTGCTGTGAGAACTACTGACGAGAAAGGCATTATAGCCTTACGTAGAAATAAATTGGAAAATTGTCCTAAAGGGGAATTCCAGGGCTACAGTTGGAAATGAAGATTCACGTTAGGTTTTCCAAAACTCGGTAGAATTAATAAAGTGATGGTTGTAGGTTCTCCACCGAAATCCATGACTTCACTAGCCATGGGTGATTGGCTAGGTACCAGGTATGGTATATCCTTAACTACCCATGATCAGATTTAGAATTCAGAAGTTTTGTTTCACCACTGTGTTTTGGACAACAAGGGGAATGGAATGTAAATGATATGACAGGTGGAATGTATGAATTTTCTCAAGGAATTCTTTCATATTTACTCACTTATTTATTGGTCTCTGTAGGTGGCAAATCTTCCAAATGACTATATGATAGCCCTCAACTATGTCACCGGGATGGATGTTTTGGTACGTAATCTGTGCATTTCTGAGTTGTATTTTAGTAGCTAATGGGGGAAATGGGATTGTCCACATTAAAGGAATTCTCTGCTCTTTGTCTTGATTTGAAGATGATGTCTGTAGATTTTGACTTGTACAATTTAAAAAAAAAATTTTTCCTTCAGGCCATTGCTAGATTAAAAGTAAGCATTTCAGCTTGTGTTTTAGGCCTGTAAGCTAAAAGGAAACAGACCATCTTCATTAGACTTAGCAACTGATGTCTCTTTTTCTCCTGGACATCTCTCAAAGGGGCTTGAATGTAAAGTCATGCTAATTAATTTTTTTCCTTGACAATGTCTCTCTCATATATATATATATATATATATATATATATATATATATATATTCATTCCTATTTTATTTAAGAACATAGAATAATTTATTTCTGAGCTTGTAAGCCATGCAATAGATCTTTGAATAAAAGTATGTGGTTATAATTAAAAATTCTACTCTGTCCCTGAAACCCTGTTACATAGTGTCAGAATTTGTAAATACAAAATAAGTGAAGTATGTATAGCCTCATCATGAAGATTATCAAACCTTGGCATTGCACAGTATCTGCTTCAGTGTATTTAACCCCCAGTGGTAAAATATAACTCAGCCTCATACATGCTTCCCCATCTCCATTACTCCCTGAATGATCTCTTAGTGGTAAAAGTTATTAGGAGCTAGAATTTTCTGCTTTGATGTAAGTTCTTGGATGTTAGGCTATGGACAAACTCCACTAGAGTTATGTAGACTGAAGAAGATGCATAGTAACGCTTACATTTTATACACTAATGAGACCTCAAGGTTTGCTATACTAAAAGATACAATATTAATGCTGTTATACTGTGTGTTCCAACTTGCAACATGTTTTCAACACACATGCTGTCCATGCTAATTCACTGTAGCTGTTGGAATCCTGAAGTAAACTTAAAGCCATTTGGGCTGCCCTCTCCTTTGCAACCCCCATCTTTCCCTATACCAAATACTCACCACGTGCTGATGATGCATGCGCATGTTGTTTCTGGGTCTTATAGATCAGTCCATCAAAACGGTTACCAATTTAAGCATAGTACTCCATTCTGTAGAACACTTTTCCAATACTACACAAGGTTTTCATTTCGAGAGACTGCCTGTGGCTTTAGCATGAACTACCGAAAGTTCTTTAGAACTCTCTAGAACATGGTTCTTCATGCTGGACCAGCTATCCTTGAACTTGGTCAATTGACTGTCAATTCAGGTGTGTGTGTGTGTGTTGGGATGGGGGGGGGGATGAGGGGGCGGTCGGTCTCCGCAATAGAGACATAAAGTTAGAGCATCTTGACCGTCAGTCAGTCAGTGCAGACATTTGATCCGGTTGTCACCAAACGATCACGTTGTCACCAAGTGTTTGGTGAAGAACACAACTGAACCTGTGCTTACAAGGTTAAAATACTCTGGCCTTAGCATTCTAGTACTTGGCCTAGTGTAGGTAAGGTCCCAGAATTCCATCCGCAGCACCACACGAAGTAAATAAGGAAAACGTCTTAATAAACACTAAGAGTCCATAGCCTTTTTGTAACATTTCTTTTTCATTTGTGAAATGACAGATGTCACCTTCCCCCCCCCCCAACAAAGGCGAGCGAAAGCCTGTAAATTAGGTAGCCTGTTAGTATTCGTATTTTACAAAAGCCTCAAGGAGATTTATGGTCCAGACTTCTTTTGACCAGGGTTCTACAGTTTGAACATGACAGCCCTAAAAAAAGCACACCCCCATCCCATCCCACTCCACCCATCCTGACTCTTCACACTGGGTTATGAACATGGGGATGTGAATAATTACGGTGGTGAGCCAAGTGTTATAAGGAAGTTTCTAGGTAATAAAGACTCCTTCCCGCTCTTGACGGCAGGCAGCCCCCTTGAGCCTGGCGGTTGCCAGACTCGCTCAAAGCAACCCTGTTGCTCTTTGCAAAGCAAGCATTGGAGCGGGAACTAACTAAACAGATGATTTTGGTGCCGGGCTAATCATAGATGGTGCTAAATCATAAATTTCAGTATGGGCTGGTGATAGCTAGAGCCAGGCTTGGGAAAATAAAGCCGACTGATTGCCACATATTCCGTGCGTGTTTCGGCAATCGAGAGAAGCCTGCTGTTCTTTGGTCTTGGCATGCTATTGTGGAACCAGTGAGAAACGTTGTTCTTGGCCACTGCAGTTGGCAAGAAAAACAAGCTAGTGTGGAGGGCTTAGCCTAGAAACTGGGGTCTTACCCTTTACCTTCGTTTTAAAGTGTTCGCCTCTGCCAAGACCAGAGGCCTTTCCCAGTCGAGTGGCCTGTGGTGATTTGTTGGTGGTCAGAGCTCCAGCTGCCTAATCTTTTGTGTTTAAACAATGGAGGGTGGGGTGGGACTTGGTGCCAGAAAGATTCCCTGGGGCCAAAGCAATAAAAGTCAGCCACGGGCACTGGGCAGGATACAGTTTATTTTTCACTTTTATTGTAAAAAAACCAGTTCAGTGCTGAAAGGAAAGTCTACTTTCCTTACTCAAGGGCCTTCTTAGAAAATAACCTAGCAGATTCTCTCTCAGAAATCACAGGTTGTGATCATCCAGTTAGTATTTGAATCCACAGGTAGTCATCAATTCCAAATCCTCACAACTATAATACTGCCAGATGGGTAGGATTTTTCCTTCAACTTCTTAAGCTTAGAAATACCTCAGTGTACGCTGCTGGGTCTTTCATTCACCTAGAAGTTACTATAGAAAGAATGGACATGGGGTTGCTGAATGTCGCCACACAGATGTGTTTGTTCTAATGTGTGTATCAGCCCATATACTGGAGGTGCTGGAATAAATTCCTCATCATTTTAAAAATAGATCAAATTATATACACAGTCACAGTTTTCTTTGGAAATGCCTTTAGTTGCACAGAGTAATTGCAAGAATATTCAGAGAACACTATATGCTCTAATCCAGGTTCAGCGTTTCTTTTCAACATCCATTTGCTTTATCAAATCTTTTTTTCTATTATAAATATATATGAAATTATTTTTTTCCAAATAAATTGTGTATATCACAGCCATTTACTTCTAAATAATTTAGTATGTGTTTCTTAAGTAGAGAATAATTATCTTACCTATCAGCAAGGTATTTTCAACTCTAGTAAATTTAGCAAATATTTTAATGTATTGGCTGTTTTCAATTTCATCCTTTTGTGTTTTCATTTCTGTTACTCTGGCAAAGGTCCAGTCCATGATCATGATTTACATTTTATTTTTTTAAAGATTTATTTTTCATATTTGAAATTGTGTATATGCACAGACACACACACACACACACACACACACACACACACACACACGTGCATGCACATGAGTGCAGATGCCCATGGAGGCTAGAGGTATTGCTCGACATGGGTGCTAAGAACAGAACTTGGGGCCTGGGAGAGAAGCACATCTCTTAACTGGTGAGCCATTTCTCCAGTGGCATGATTTTACTATCAACAATAGTGATTCCTCAAAGATACCATAGTCCGGTTAATTTCTCTGGCTATGGGAACTTTGAAGAAGGAATTCAGTTAAGATTTTGAGATGAGAAGATTAGCCTGGATTATCAAGAGGTAGTTCAGTTAGGATTTTATTATCCAGTGGAGCCAGTCCATGCACTTGCATCCTTTTCAAGGAATCTGATGTGTCTGAGATAGAGAGGGAGATTTGCAGACGTTCTTCTGCTGGCTTTAAAGATGAGTGCAGCAGCTATAGCAATTCTGGCGGGTGGCCTGTAGGAACTGGAAAGGGCAGGGCAAAGTTCTCCCTCAGTACGATGAGGGACTTAATTTTATAGTAAGATTTATTCCACATGTCTGGCCTCAAGAACTGTACAATAAACTTGATCTTGTCTAGCAGCTCCGTGGTCATTTGTTCTAGCTACAATAAGGAGTCAACAGATCCTATCTTAAAGTCCCCCTCAAAAGTTCCTCAGCCTTTTTTTTTTTGTCTTTATGGCAATGCACCCTCCCCCTTGGTAAAGTGTTCCCTTTTAAATGTGGTTGAGAGTCTGTGGACTTCATGCATTCTAAGCCATGGTGTCGCTTCATGACTCCTGTTCAGATGGCCCTTCCCCGAGTGTGCAGTGTACGTAGGCCATCTCCCACAAGGCAACTTGTTTCTCTCTCCTGGTGAAGATGTTCAACTGATTTCTGTGCATGTAATCATTAACAGTCTTGGGGACACTTTAAACCCATGTGAACAACTCGCTCCTTATCAACATTTATAACTACTGACCCTTATTACCTGGAGCTAATCTCTACTATTCCATCTTTTTCCGTTTTTGTTTGTTTGGGTGCTGGGGATCAAACCCAGGATTGTGCCAGGCACACTGAGTCATAGGCCTGGTTCCTAAAGCAGTTTTTAAAGGAACAGCTAAGAGGGAAGTGATTGATTGGGGACCTCCATTCTTACTGGGACAGTAAACCTCCTAGCTGTCTTCATCTGTAGCCTTCCTGGGGCACAACACGTTCACTCTGAGGCTCTGTGTTCTTTTCACCACCCCAGGACTTATTGTTGGTACTTCGGTTCCTGGTTTGACAGAGAGACTTAAAAATGATTATGCAGTTGTGGATCTGTCCTTCCTTCACATATGCTGAATGACTCACTGTTCATCTTCTGAAACAGGAAAAGGCGTTATTGCCACAAGGTCTCAGAATACAGTTTCCTGATTGGCTACAGGGCTATTTGATTGACAGTCTTCCCCTAGCCTACAAACTTTACAAAAATGAAGACTATACACACACGTTGTTGTTGTTGTTGTTGTTGTGCTGTTCTGCACCTGCAGTGGCTTCTGGGTAGTGGGCATTTAAGGAAGAATGTATGGAAGGGAAGTAGGAACATTCCCTGATGTGTAATCACGTGTCATTGTCTCAAGGTCCCAGGTGATGTGATGGCTGGGTGCCTGTAACTCAACACACAGTATCTGAACCTCAGCAATGCTCCTGTCTCGTCTTGGGCATGTC